GGGGACCTGACTTGGCAGTCAGGGATGGGTCTCTGGAGCAAAGATCTAGCTGGGCCTCTTTAAATAAAGCAGCTGACCAAGGCGTTTTCCTCTCCAGCCCCTTCATGGGGCCTGGCTCCTGCTTTGTGTGCATGCTGGGGTGACGTCTACGCCTCTGCCTTTTTGGGGGAAGGGAGATGTGGGATGGGGGGAGGTGAGCTCTTTATTTCAGAATTTTAAATTACGAAACAATTTACGCATACAGAAAAGTACGGAAACAAATATAACGGACAGTTGTGTAACTACACCAAAATGGTTGGGTGTTAACATTTTGCCACATCTCCATATCTCCGCCTTTTTATAAAGGGAAAAATGCAGGACTGAGCGCCATCCCATCTCTTCCCCTCTCCCCCTCCAGAGAGTGTCATCTGTTCCCTTTTCAATGCATGGTTTTCAGTGAATACTTTAACTATATATATATATATATATATATATATATATATATATAGTTAATATATATATAAAATATATATACATATATATAATAACTATATATATATAAACCCCCAAACAGTATTTTTTGTGTGTATTAAAAATTCAGACAAATGCTATTATGTTGCATTCTTTTGTTGCTTTTTAAAAAAATTCAGCATTATATTGTTTAGATTTGAGCCATTTTGATCTGTGGGCCTTACTACATCTTTTTTTTTTTTTTTTTTTTTGTAATTGTATAGAATTCCATTGTATGGCTATAGCAAAATATGTTTTCTTTCCATTTATCTACTTGTCAGAGTTCGATTGTGTCCTCTTTCTGGCTTTGTAAATACTATTGCATCGAGTATCCTTCTTGGGACACCTGTGAGTGTTTTCGTGTGCATATATTTATAAGGGGAATTGCTGGATTATGGGGTCAGTGCACCTTTAAACTTGGTGAGGAAACTGTTTCCTAAAACTTCTTTAGGACGAAAACTGGAGAGAAGATAAACCTTGATTATTTCTTCAATTTTGAAATATGAGCAAAGGGTTCAGGATAAGGTATAGTGAAAAACGGGGCCCAGAATTTCTGTACATCTAACATGATACAGAGATGTGAAAGTTGATACTCCCATTTTTTATCAGAGTGGTTTCCTAAAATAAATACTTAAAGTAAATGGATCATTTTTAGCTTTACTTTTTCCCTCTTCAGTAATATAGGAAAGTATTCATATCTCTTTGAAAATTGGAATAAATTTTTTGTTATTATGTGTGCTCATGCTCCGCGTAAGATCTTCTTTATTTAGAAATGAGTGAAATAAATTCTTGTTTTTAAAAAACAGAAAAGCTCTGCTCTCAGGCATTTTCTGGAGATTTCCATTTGGTTTAGCTTAGTGATATTTTTATTCAAACTGTGATAAAGGTCCAGAGCGTTGGCTGGGTATATAATGGCCTAGAGGGTAAGCGGTTAATAGCCGAGCACTGTGCCGCTGTTAGCGTGAAGTTCACTGGTCTGCCTGTTAGATGAAGCTGAACGTAGGCGTCTCAAAGAGTTGGGTGGTACAAGTGATTTCAGTTTTATAAGATGTTCCTTCGTTAATTTAATTCTTTATATACTAACTTGATTCAGGAATCCGCTGAAAAACATCCATTCATTCAGCAAACATTTATTGACTGGCAGGCCCTCTCCCCAGAGACATTCCGTGAATGTGGGAGCTTAATGTCTAGTGATGAGGACAAACAGTAAACACAACACCCAATTAAGGGGTTTACTGACTCAGTCAGACCATCTCTGCCGTGTGAAATGGAGTTGGAACTGGCATGAGAAAGACGGTTGGGGCTGTGCTTGTGTAGTTAGGCTGGCCCGGGAAGGGTGGATCTGAGCTACAAGTGCTTCGTGACCTCAGCTCCCGGCACTTGGTCCCTGGTCCTCAGTGAAGTCTTGGTTGCATTTCCCTTGCACCCGACATTCTGGGGATGTCACTTCTCCTGAAGGTGTTTGAGAACCAAGACGTACGCAAGAAGACCCTCAGCAGCCAAAATGGATTTTACAGGATTCGAGGCGGTAACGGCTCCCACGCTCCCCTCATGGACGAGTCCCCTGGGCCTTCGTGTTTTTAACCAGTGTCACGGGCTCCTCAGTCCTCAGCAGATTCCGTTGAGGATGGAGGTCAGTGGTGAGCGATGGCCGGGTGCCTGGGTGGCACGTAAGGCAGGCGGCAGAGCGAGACCATAGTTACCCAGTGGGGTTTGTGCAGACGGCTTTCGGCAGGAGGCTCTGGGGCCTTTAGTGTATCCTGGCTCAACCTGCTGATTTATGTTTTATGATGGTGATTGTTTGGCTTAAGATTTTAGAAAAGTATATGATAGATCTTTGAAAGCCATGCCTCTGAATTGATTAAAGCAAGAGCAGTGTTGATGATTAAAGAACGTAGACTTTAGTTCCAGACAACTGAGGCGTTAGATTTAGAAATTGAATTTTGAAAGAAAAACTCAGGAAATACTTAATATTTTAGAGAGAGCACTGCAACCTGTAGTTTAAGAAGTAATGGTATCTGTGTAGAATTCCAGGTAGGATTATTATATTGCTGGTTATAATAGGAACATGAGTTAATAGAGAAAGTAGGCCCTATCTTGTAGATAGGGGTGTGAGACAGATACGGTTACGTGACTGACCATGTTCACACAAGTGAGGCACAGTAGGACTCGGATTTGGACTTGACACGTTTCTAACCCAAAGACTCTTCAGCTAAACAGAGTTAGTGATCTCTGCTTCAACGTGGCTGCCATGGAAGGACAGGGGACGGGGTTCAGTTGATGGGCACCAGGACCCAGGTCTCACTGACAGGCTGATTGTCCCATGTTATCAATCACCTCACCCCCGGCTCTCAGAGGGGGAGCTGCCTGTTAGGTCAGTACCAGGTGAATTAGGCCCATGTATCTAAAAGGAGAGCCAATAGGTTTAATGGTGGAAGACCGCTGTAAAATTTCCCAAGCAGAAGTTTTTGATGGTTTCTCCTCCGAAGTTGGCCGTGCTCTGCGGACTGCGGCCGTGGCTCCGTTGAACGTTTGCTTGTAGTCCCAGCAGCCTACCTGGGCTCCCCTGCACCCTGACTTGCCCCCCGCCGCCTTTGGAGAGCTCGAATAGACCGTGAGGGTCTAACACGTGCATGACTGCTCCAGTGTTAGTCGCTGCCTACGACACGCTCTGTTGTTGTCCTTCTTAGAAAGTAGAGCCCCGCTCCCCAAACGGCACATTCATACTGTGTGTAAGGGTTTCTGTAAACCAGAAAGTCAACATATTAAAGTGCAATTCCCAGGGGAGTCGCCGGCTGTGTTGATTGAGCTTTACAGTAGTTTTAACACTGGCAAAAGTGTTATCCTAACTGCTTCAAATCAAACTGCAAAGATGCTTGTGTGAAATCTAGTATTAGATATCAAATCAACATATGGGTGCTGAACGAAAGGATATGTGTTGTGGTAGTATACGATATTCTAGCATGTGGAGTTGTATTTTATGGAAATTCTTTGGCTTGGCTTATGGCAGGGACATACATTCATTATGAGATATCAAGCTGTAAAATAAATAAAAGCAAAGAATTCAACTGTGCAGTTAAATGCTTTTCAGCACAAACTTGTCTGCTCTACTAACGTAGGGTCTGCGTGATGAGGCATTTGTGAGCCATTGTGGCCAAACGTTCATGATTGTTGTCGACAGGCCTTGACGATAATCTAGATCAGGTCAGAAAGAAAATGAACTTTAGCTTTTGGCATTTTTCTCCTTTTTCTTCATTGTATGTCTTAACAAATTACCGTGCTAATTGGTGTTAGAGGCAAAGCGTTGAATATTTTTCTCCCTTTACCATTCCTTCTTTTTCCTCATTTGGTATTTTATAGCGATTGCGTTTTTAAACGTGTGTCTGGAACAGATCACTGAATCCTTGAGTATGTGGGCTCATGGGCTTCTAGTTCTGGGGGTTTTCAGGTGGACCATGTTGTTATTAAGAGTGCCTTGGTCATCCTCGTCTCTGGAGTGCTTTTTGCTATCCTGATCCCGTTTTCCTTTTCCTCTGTTGTTCTCTCTTCCAATTAGAGGGGAAAAATAAGGCAATAGAGGTTTCATTTGAAAAAAAATTTAAAAGTATCATCCGTGGTGTATTACATGAGCAAAGATTATAAGGATGTTTAGGTTCGTGCAAATTAGAGATGGGGGAGGGAAGACTCATCTAGAACATTTTTGCCTGTGTCTTTGGCGTTTGCAGGGTAGTGCACTCTGCTTTACACCATTACGTGTTTCATCAAGTAGGAAAATACTATCTCACTATTAGATACGAATCCTTCCGTCAAGAACTCATGTTGTTGGTTATATTGTGTTACATGCATAGTACTGTCTTTTAAAAGGGTTTTATTTGATTGTAAAGTGATGTAGTTTCTTTTTAGCAAGAACAGTAAATAGAATTGCTGATGTAACTGGTGTAGTATCTGCTGCTATGTAGTTGGGGCTTTTTGACCTTCGTTGAAACAAAAATACGCCCTATACAGGTACCCAAGCCACAAGCATCCTACAAAATAGTAGTAAGTGCGCTTGGACTGTTGGAGTTCATTTTCATTTTGAGCTTGGCACGAGAATGGATTAACATAATGCTCTTTTGACTTTCTTAGAGGCTAATTGTTTTTTTTTCTTAACATAACAGCATTTGATTAGTTTCACGTGTACAGTCTACACCGTGCCAACTCAGCAGAGGCTGACGTGTTTTAATGTCAGTATTAGGAAATGGGGGGGCCCCCGGCGGGGGGGGTATGAGGAGGTTATCAATATTTGATATCTGTTGAAATATTTTTTAAAACAAATTTTCTTTTTACTTCGTTGATAATCTGTGTCCAGAAGACAGTATAGCGATTTATGTAATGGAGGGAAGATTAAAAATACTGAATTCAGTTGCTTAGCCGAGAGTCCCCCGCACGTTGCTGAATCGAAACCGTATTTGACCGCCCTGGATTGCACATTTTGACTTTTCTCGCTTGTGTTTTGCTCGTCTTGTCGACAGATGCCGCCTCAGTATGGACAGCAAGGCGTGAGTGGTTACTGCCAGCAGGGCCAGCAGCCTTACTACAACCAGCAGCCGCAGCCCCCGCACCTCACCCCGCAGGCGCAGTATCTGCCGCCCCAGCCCCAGCAGCGGTACCAGCCCCAGCAGGTGAGCGCAGCCGCTGGGCCCCGCCCCCGGCCCGGCCCTCCAGGTCTGTGTCCCAAGGCCAGACTGGGCTCTGACGCGTCTTCCCGTCCCGCCTGAAAGAGTCTGTTTTCAGTGGTGGTGGTGGTTGGGGGAGGGGGGATGTAGTATTGAGAAAATGCCGAAGTACATCAGATCTGAACTGCTCGTTTGTTTACGGATGGATGTTCGAAATTGTAGAGTGGGAAGAATACGCTTATTCAGAAAAAATGGTTTCATCGACCATTTCATCTTGCTAGTTGGCACCTACGTGGTATTCCCATGTTGAGCTTTTTGGGGGTTTTTGTTTTAATGGTAAGTGCTACTCTATCAAACACCGTTGCCTGTGCAACGTTACTCTTCTTAAGCTACCTCATGAACTGATAATCGCTTCAAAATACTAGAGGGAATCATGTACTTTAAGGATATTGAGCAGTGTGTAGTTTAAATTAGCCTCATTAAATAGTCTTTTATGTTATCGGGCTGTGTATTTCAGCTCCCGTGATCGGTAGAAAAATCGTACATACGCACGTGGTGAAATGATTCAGTCTCCTCTTGTTTTTTAGAGGTTGACACGGAGTGATAGGAAAGGGCTCTGTGAGCTCGGGACTCTTACTCTGAATCCAGATACACGTTTAATAGCACTTCCAGTGATATGCGTCAAAATGTAACTTTCCATTTCATATTTTCCTTCTTTCTCTTTTCATGGGGTGGAGAGGGAAGGCAGTGACATTGATGATTCAGTTTTCAAAGTGCTTGCGCATGTTGAAGAGATTGTTGATGCTAAACAGGGTGAAAAAAAATATATGAAGTTTGGGGTGCCTGGGTGGCTCAGTCGTTAAGCGGCCAACTCTTGGTTTTGGCTTTGATCTCACGCTTTGTGATGTTGGGCCCCCGAGTTTGGCTCTGCGCTGACAGTACGGAGCCTGTGTGGGATTCTCTGTCTCTCCCCCTTCCCCTCTCGTGCTCTCATGTTCTCTCTTTCTCTAAAAATAAAATAAAGTTAAAAAAAATAAATATGTGAAGCTTAATTTATTTTAATTTATTTTTATTTTTTTAAGTTTATTTTGTTTATTTTGAGAGAGAGCACGTGTTGCATGTGCTCAGGGGAGGGGCAGAGAGAGGGCGAGAGAGAATCCCAAGCAGGCTCTGCGTCAGCCAGCGAGGGACTGGAACTCACGAACCTTGAGATCATAACCTAAGCCTAAGTCAAGAGTCAGATGCTTAATTGACTGAGCCACCCATGCGCCCTTGAAGCTTAATTTTAATTCAGCTGATTTCTTAAGTATTTTCTTGGGTTCTTTGGAATCTTTTCCCCTGTGACTTCTATTTAAGAGTTTTAAAGAGTTTATGACTTTAAACAAAACATGTTAAAACAGCAGAGATTGAAATCCTGTAGAATCTTGTGGGTTTTTTTTTTTGTAAATGTTTTCAAAATTCTGATACTAGATGAAGGAATTTATGGAGGTAGGAATGTATATTTCAGTTATATGGTCTTGTCTTGTATTAAGATGTGGGAGAATTAAATAATCTTCCAATATCGTTTTTTTAAGTGAGAGAAACTAGTGTCTGAGTTTATGATATAGAAAGTTCTAGGCTTTTTCAAGGGCTTTCAGCACCTGATTGAACTTCTTGGTAGACACAGGACGTTTTCTCATGCCATCAAAATTTAAGAAGGACTGAATAGAGAGATTACGTTAGTATTTTACTTTGGTGTGCTAAAATAAATCTCTGATTGTAAAACCAATCTGATTAAGGATTCTGAGCGCCTGGCATTTCCTTGGAGACCAAGCTCAAATTTACTTCCTTTATGAAGCATTCACTGATGTCTTCTATCACGTGGCAATTAGTTATTTAATAGCCTTCACATTTAAATATTTAAAGCATACTTCAGGTGAAATCTTATTTTAATGAATACTATTTTAATGGGCTTGGTTTAGGACTATTTTATGCTTTGCTACTACCATTATTTTATTGATTTGAGTGTGGCAGATTATATGGTAGGAAATACTATATGTAGAACCATGGCTCTCTAATATAATTATTGTCATTCCTGTATGTTCTGAGGGAGAGAAAACATTTTTTGAACTCTAGGACAAAGGTTTTCTTGTTTTCATACTCCCCACCTGTAGAATGTTTTTTAACTTTTCGGTAAGTTCATTATGGGACAAAGAGGTGGAGATCAGAGACGTTTATGTGGCTGAATCGGAGGGTCTTGTTTGACAGGAAGAACTTTGGTATTTAGGGAGTTAGACGTTCAGATAGATTTGGGAAGTTTGCCTAGGAAATTAGAGTTAGCATTTTGGATATGGTTAGCACCTCCCAAAACAACGTAACAATGACCAACAGGATATTTTCAAAATGAAGCTGAATTTTACTAAGAATGTGTAATTCTGAATTCACATACATTTAAAAACCACAGGAAGCTCAACTGTATTTAATGTAGTGAGCCAGTATTTCCTAACAGACAAAACATTCTTTTCTGTACACTTTCTTGTTTCCAAACAGCGTAACGTGGTCTATTGATTTTTATATTAGGGAATCAGTCAGCAAATAATACTTTGTGTCTTTTGTTAATAGGATTGATACAAAAAGTGATTTTCGGGTTCCATGAAGACACCTCACTCTGTGTCTTTAACATTTGTCAACGTGTTATGTTTTGAATAATCAATACATTCGTATATTTCAAAAAGTATGAGGAAAGGATACAGATAAGCTTCCCAGCACAGTCCTCCTGAGTAGTTTAGCCCCACCTCACCCAGATAACCACGTGAGTAGGCTATCTTGCATCTTTCTGGAGTATGTTTATACAGAAGAGCAAGATACCGTATTTTAGTATTAAATTATTAAATGTTTGTTTAGTTTTGAGATAGAGAGAGGACATGTGTGTGTGTGCAAGCAGAGGAGGTACAGAAAGAGAGGGAGGGAGAGAGAGAATCCCAGGCAGGCTCCATGCTGTCAGCACAGAGCCCGACACGATCCACAAACCACAGGATCGTGACCAAAACCCAGAGTCAGATGCTTAACTGACTGAACCACCCAGGTGCCAAGATTCCATGTTTAAATTTTTACTCCACTTTCCCACAAATGGTGGCATACTGTTACATGCACACTTTTCTGTTCTTTGTTGTCCTCCTCTCCCACCCACTTAAGGGTAGTTTCTGTCGAACTTGCCAAAGGAGCACGTTAAAGTAACCCTTCATTCCTTTCATGAAAGCTTCCTTTCATTTTATGGACACACCGCGATATATTTAACCAGTTCCCTTTTGATGGTCATTCAGATTAGTTTAAATTATTTGCACTTCAAACGAGACTGCCAGGATAAACTTTGTATATGTATCATTTTGTAAATGTGCGAGTCTATCTGTAGGATAAATTCCCGGAAGTGGGACTAGTGTGTCAATGGGTGTATGCAGTTACAGTTTTGGTAAATATTGCCAGATCGTTCCTTTGAGGGGTCGTACCAATGTATACTCACACTATCAGTGTGTGAGAGTACCGGTTTCCCTACGCTCGTGCCAGTAGCATGGTTTTTACTAAGCTTCTGGATTTTTGCCAGTCTGATAATGTAATTTTAATTTGCATTTATCTTGTTTTGAGTTCTGTTGAATGTTTTATACTTAAAAGCATTTGCATTTCTTTTTTTTTTTTATTGTGATTTCACACCTTTTTATCTTGAATTTTTCTATTCAATTGTTGGTCTTTTAAAAGTTGATTTAATAAAAACCTATATATATTAGGAAGACTGGATCTTTGCCTGTGATATGAGTTACCAACCACCCTCCCTCACCTTGTCATTCATCTTTTGACGTTAATTATGGTTTATTTGTTTGTTTGATCTTGCAGAGGGGCTTTTTAAATTTTAAAAGGTATGTATGTAGTCAAAATTATCACTCTTTTAAGATCTCTGGATTTTTTTTTTTTAAGTGTGAGTTTGAGCCTTCCACACTCCAGAGTTTACAAAGGAACTCTCCCATGTTATTTTGGGAGTATTTTCATGGATTCGGTTTTACATTTCACTTACCCTAATCCAGCTTAACTGGGTTTTTTTTGGTTTTTTTTGTTTTTTGTTTTTTTTTGCCAGATCTTTAAGTGCCTTCTCTTGTGTAAGCTATTGTGTTAGGGCTCTACAGAGAAACAGAATGTGTGTGTGTGTGTGTGTGTGTGTGTGTGTGTGTGTACACATATTCACATATCCTATTTGGTTAGGATAAAGAGATTTGTTGTAAGGAATTGGCTTATACAATTATGGAAGCTGGCAAGTACAGAACCTGCATTGTGAGCCAGCAGGTGGAGATTCAGGAGAGCTGATGGTGGTGATGAAGTCTGAAGGCAGTCTGCTGGACTGCAATTCCAAGTAATTCCTGGAATTACTTGGAGAGGTTGGTCTTTTTGCTCTATTCATGCTTCAACTGGTGGCCTACCCACCTTACCCAAAGTCACTGATTTAAATGTTAATTTCATCCAAAAGCACTTTCCAAGTTGACCCATAGAATTAACCATTACAGTTACCTTTCCCCAATTGATTGGAGATGCCCCTTTTATTATTTGCTTGGATTCCCGAAGGTATAATGTTTGGGGTTATTCTGGGGTTTTTGTTCTTTTTCATGGGTCCCTTTTTAAAAAAGTTTATTTATTTATTTTTGGAGAAAGAGAGTGAGAGAGTGCACACATGGGGACGGACAGAGAGAAAGGGAGAGAGAGAGAGAGAGAGAGAGAGAGAGAGAGAGAGAGAGAGAATCCCAAGCAGGCTCTGTGCCATCAGCGCAGAGCCCGATGTGAGGCTTGAACTAACGAACCATGAGATCAGTCATGACCTGAGCTGAGATTAAGAGTTGGAGACTTAATAGACTGAGCCACCTAGGTGCCCCTCTTTGGTCCTTCTATTAATGTACTCCAGTTCTTCATTGTTTTTAGGTGTTTTTGATTTCCTTTAGAACATTCTTTCAAAAAGAACAGTCGTACTTTTTTGTTAGAATTAGTTG